ACATACTGTGTCTTAAATGTAAGTGACTCAGTATTAACTTCTTAAATATTGAACTGTTATATACACACAATCTTGCTGTTTGTCTGAATAAAAGCATTCGGTAACACTTTACGTAAAGCCTGTATGTATAATGCATTATCAAAGTAGTTTTAATGCATTAACTATGCCTTGTAATGCAGCTTATAATGCATTGTACAATCTCATGAATGAATGTAACTACAATAACACTTAGTTCATTGTTACACAATGCATTTTAAATTCAGTTATAATTATTTTAGACAAGATATGATGTATTACAAGAATGAAACAAATCTCTTTTTGAGTAAATAATTGAATCGTTCACTTAACTGATTTGGTCAAAAACACTGATTCAGTTACAAATTCAAGAAACACCTCTACTGAGTTGCAATGTTTCTGCTTTGCCTTTGTTTAGAACTATTTTTGCTTATGATGAAAAAGTAACTGGACATACTGTGTCTTAAATGTAAGTGACTCAGTATTAACTTCTTAAATATTGAACTGTTATATACACACAATCTTGCTGTTTGTCTGAATAAAAGCATTCGGTAACACTTTACGTAAAGCCTGTATGTATAATGCATTATCAAAGTAGTTTTAATGCATTAACTATGCCTTGTAATGCAGCTTATAATGCATTGTACAATCTCATGAATGAATGTAACTACAATAACACTTAGTTCATTGTAACACAATGCATTTTAAATTCAGTTATAATTATTTTAGACAAGATATGATGTATTACAAGACACATTATGAATAATTATAATGCATTATACCCTTTAATAACCCTTTATAATGCATTACACATAAAGGCTTTAAGTAAAGTTTTACCAAGCATTCTTTCTTGTGTGAAACTGCTTAATGAACAAGCAGGGGGTATTATATAAGTATTCAATTACCTTTTGTCAAGTCGATGTGTATCTAAGATCAGACTCAACAAAAAGTGATCAACAAAAGCCACTGGCATGCAGGAATGGCATTGCACACTTCGGCCATGTCACACCCACAGTCTGTCATTAGATGCTTTCTTTATATGTGGCTCTAGTATCCACACATACTGGTTTATTTTTGGAAAAAGTATCTCTGGCCCAGTTCCATCTTGCCCTAAAACTTGATAACTTTGATAGAGCCTCTGTGAATTGTCATAAAGCAAACATTCAAATGTAAACAAAGCTCATTGTGAGTGGAAAAGAGAGCAAAAACATTATTTGGCATGATGCCCTGTGGTCATGCCCAATATGTTTGTGGTAATGCCTGGCTAGTGCACAAAATAACAATGGCTCTGTGAGGTTGACGTTTCTCTAAATATGGGATATTACATACATATTATTGTGTTCCATAGCTCTGAAGAAGTGATAGACCTGTATTTGGATGACTAGACTGCATAAAATACCCCAAAAATGAGACAGTGGTTTTCTTTGGCTTTGAAAATGTGAAAGTTTTCCCAGAAATAGTTTGACGAATTGAATTCGTTTTTTCTTGTTATTCTCTCTCTCCATTTTAAGTATTAATAGCGTAAAGACCCAAAGAAAGGGGGTTTGGGGGCGGGTTTATGTTCCACTTGAAATGAATCTGATGTAATGTACTTGGAATTTGGTTAAGGCTATATTAAAGCTTTGTGTTACTGTGTGGAAGAAAAAGAACAGTTACAATTGAATGCGTATCTGTATGTGCTATGTGCAGCAGAAGGTTAAACAATATTCATTAGAGTAGTGCTCTTTTTTTCTGAACACCACAAACCATATTTAAGCATGTAAAATTAAGCAAGCATAAAAAAGGTTTTGAGATTTCAGTAGACAATGAAGTGAAATTAAAATTATATAACCATTTACAGTTGTTCCATATATATATGACTTTCTTCGTTCTGAGGAACACAAAAGATGTACTTTTAATGAATTAGGAATAAAGACTTTGCTAATACACATTGATAGATATCTTCAAAACATATGCATGACTAATTACATAACACAAGTTACACATTTTGAGAAGAATCTCCTCTAGAGGAAAAAACTCATTTTCACCAACTGTAATTTACTTTTGATTAAATTTCTGTACCTACTTATTACTTTTTCCTCTCTCAGGTAAAATTTTAATTCACACTCTGTAGATCTCTGGAGATTTGCGTCATCACTAACTCGCATGTAAAACAAGTTCCAACAACCACAGCAGCACTGCTGAGTCCCTGAAAATCAGACTCTGAGCTCATTTGGTGCCAAGTATATTTACGTTTTTATGGACATTAGATCACTGTCAGATATATGAGAAACTGAATCCTAAACACTTTACGGCTTTCTAAAAAATAAGAAAGAAAATGTGCAAGATAGATGATAATGTATGTATTTTCATAACAGTGGAGATGAAGGATGGGTGAAGCAGGTGTCTCGGCTCAGTGGTGGTTGCAGGACAATTTGATGCTGAGGCAGGCAGTCTAGCTGTCTTGCTGAGTAATGTATGAAATGAAGGGGAACCTTGTTAGGCACAGACAGTGAAGATCAGCAAAGACTGAAGCGAGAGAGGGCAGAAGAGAAAAGTTTTAGAGTGTGGGACATTTACATTTATGATCCAGACAGATATTTTCTCACCAAAGTGACTTACGGTAATGCAAAGTTGAAATAAACAGGCAATAAATACAGAACTGTTTACATCTCTCTGTCCACTTTCAGTGTAGGCCATGAACAGTGTTTTGACTTTAATTCTTGCAAAAAGCAGAGCAGAGAGATAATTCCCAAGAGTTAAAAGGGAGAGACCTTGAAGCTATTTCTGTAAATATGAAACCCAGTTTTGGAGACAAAGGCCATTCAGACAATGTGACCTTGGTTCTGGATCTTTGCGAGAGGGCGAGGGTGTCCCCCTTCCACTGTGACAAGAGAACAAGATGATTGGGTCTTTATCACAGCAGTAAGACATAATCATGAAATCTCATTTCAGCTTCATTATCATTTATCACAGAATAACTTTGGCATTAATGAAGTCTCTGTATATGCAGATTGAATCCCACCCTTATAGCCAAACTGACATGGTTTTCTTTAAAGAGATAGTTCACTCACAAATGAAAATTCTGTCATCATTTACTCACCCCCATGTTGTCCCAAACCTCTAAGGCTTTTTGGCATCTCTGGAACATAAAAGAAGATATTTTATAAATCATAATTTTGGTAACACTTTATTTTAAGGTGTCCTTTTTGCACGTTATATGTACTTACTATTATAATAACAATTATTTTTGCCAAATTACATGCAAGTAACCCTAAGCCAAACCATAATCCTAACCCTAACCATATAGTAAGTACATGTATGTTAATTATTACGGTATTACTCAGTACTTAAACGCTTTATAATAACATTATATTACATTATAATTAATTACATGCAAGTAACCCTAAGCCAAACCATAATCCTAACCCTAACCATATAGTAAGTACATGTATGTTAATTATTACGGTATTACTCAGTACTTAAACGTATATATATATATATATATAAATGCATTATTTTTTCTTCTGTCTTTCAGACTTTCAGATTCAGACTGTACAGACTGAATAACTCGCATCGGTCTGTGTGTTTGTGTCCCATCTCTCCTCCCTCTGGCCTCCATGTGACAAGAGAAAGTGTTCTGCCCAATACGATTCGCATGGATCGAGTTACTGGCCCTCTCGCGCTGCGCCGCTGCTGCTCACTTCACTCACTCACCAGTCTCTGCCGCGCGGGGGCCGCACCGACCCACCACTCCACACACGCACTCCGCTTCTCACATCCATTCAGCTCGATTCCGCATCGTTGTCCGAAGATGACCGTGACTATTACGGGGCCATCCACGAGCCTAACCTCCACCAACCGCGGAGAGTAGAACCGGAGCAGAGGAGAGAGAGAGTAACCCACCTCTCTCGTCTCTCCCCATCATCTGCCTCAATCCTCTGGACTGCATACCGACAGCTGAAGACACAGCGATTTCTGCTGAAATCTAGCCCTCACCCACAAACACTCTTCTGCTTTTAGCTCTCAAGCCGCGTCTCGTCGGGGTATTGTGGAAGTAATTTCACACAAGGATTTTTTTCTGATCTGTATTCACTTAAGATGGATAATATAAACGTGGAGTCGGTGGAGAAGGAGTGCGGGGCGCTTGGTGGATTATTCCAGGCGATTGTCAACGATATGAAGGTGAGAGGTTTGACACGACGCTTTAAACACATGTAACCGTATATTCTGCACGAGCGTGACCAGCATGCAGATGGCGAAGCTCTCAAACCCGTTATCACTAAAGTGGCTTTGAGCAAATAACCATAATGCAATATACAATCGCCTATTCGTGTTAGACCTAAATGACAGGGGGAGAGCTGCATGACATTCACTATCCTCCAGAAGATAAATAGATAGATAGATAGATAGATGCATGCATACATAGATATATGCATATATGCATGCATGCATACTGTACATGCAGGCCTATATAGGTTATAGGCTACATTAAACGATGAAGTCATGTTGTGTATCACTCAACTCGATACGGTTCGCCCTAATGCCGGTGCGACTGAACACACTGTATCAACACGAGAATGTTGTGCGTGTAGAGAGGAAATGGAGGGGGTTTCACTCACACAATGGGAAACAGACTGAACTGCTGCTGATTAAGCAGATGCGGCCGCGCGCCATTCCGTGTCACACACCGTGAGATTTGTTGCGTCTGTCTGACGGATTGCAGCGTTCCGTCATATCATTGGGTCTATGAGCGTACAAAGAGCGGCCGCGCTAGCGTGAAAACACCGTATTGATCTTCTGTCGGGTTTAATATTTTAACCACATCGTGAAAATTTCAGACTTTCAGATTCAGACTGTACAGACTGAATAACTCGCATCGGTCTGTGTGTTTGTGTCCCATCTCTCCTCCCTCTGGCCTCCATGTGACAAGAGAAAGTGTTCTGCCCAATACGATTCGCATGGATCGAGTTACTGGCCCTCTCGCGCTGCGCCGCTGCTGCTCACTTCACTCACTCACCAGTCTCTGCCGCGCGGGGGCCGCACCGACCCACCACTCCACACACGCACTCCGCTTCTCACATCCATTCAGCTCGATTCCGCATCGTTGTCCGAAGATGACCGTGACTATTACGGGGCCATCCACGAGCCTAACCTCCACCAACCGCGGAGAGTAGAACCGGAGCAGAGGAGAGAGAGAGTAACCCACCTCTCTCGTCTCTCCCCATCATCTGCCTCAATCCTCTGGACTGCATACCGACAGCTGAAGACACAGCGATTTCTGCTGAAATCTAGCCCTCACCCACAAACACTCTTCTGCTTTTAGCTCTCAAGCCGCGTCTCGTCGGGGTATTGTGGAAGTAATTTCACACAAGGATTTTTTTCTGATCTGTATTCACTTAAGATGGATAATATAAACGTGGAGTCGGTGGAGAAGGAGTGCGGGGCGCTTGGTGGATTATTCCAGGCGATTGTCAACGATATGAAGGTGAGAGGTTTGACACGACGCTTTAAACACATGTAACCGTATATTCTGCACGAGCGTGACCAGCATGCAGATGGCGAAGCTCTCAAACCCGTTATCACTAAAGTGGCTTTGAGCAAATAACCATAATGCAATATACAATCGCCTATTCGTGTTAGACCTAAATGACAGGGGAAGAGCTGCATGACATTCACTATCCTCCAGAAGATAAATAGATAGATAGATAGATAGATGCATGCATACATAGATATATGCATATATGCATGCATGCATACTGTACATGCAGGCCTATATAGGTTATAGGCTACATTAAACGATGAAGTCATGTTGTGTATCACTCAACTCGATACGGTTCGCCCTAATGCCGGTGCGACTGAACACACTGTATCAACACGAGAATGTTGTGCGTGTAGAGAGGAAATGGAGGGGGTTTCACTCACACAATGGGAAACAGACTGAACTGCTGCTGATTAAGCAGATGCGGCCGCGCGCCATTCCGTGTCACACACCGTGAGATTTGTTGCGTCTATCTGACGGATTGCAGCGTTCCGTCATATCATTGGGTCTATGAGCGTACAAAGAGCGGCCGCGCTAGCGTGAAAACACCGTATTGATCTTCTGTCGGGTTTAATATTTTAACCACATCGTGAAAATGTCGCACAGTCGTTCTGAATGTATGTTGACCGGGTTTCGGGACTCGTTTCCATGCATTCGTTTCTGACGCTCTGGCAAACATTCAGCCAGTGAAACCCAATAGCGACCACATGACTTCTCTCCTGAGACGCCTTCAAGCTGCTCACTATTAATATCACAGTGTTTTTACTAGATTGACAAAAAGACGTGATTTCCATAAGGTGTAACAGCTCTGTCCTCTCTGCTCTGCTTACACAGATATTGTCTTCTCATTCATAATTTAACTCTTACTTCTCCAGCACGCTCATGGTCCCATTTGCTTCCATGCTGTTAAATGGGGATTGCAAAATATGGGTCAGCTAATATGCCAACTTGTCTGTGGGAGGATATTGAGCAGACAGTGGCATTGGCACATGGTGTCGATGATGTTTGCCTCAGAGCTCTTCATTTCTGTGTCTGGCACAGTTCAGTCATGAACGAGCACTAGATCCAGGCATCACCTTTAAGATGTAGGTTGATTCAGGTGCTGCGCTGTTCCTGGTCTCAAGCTCGCTCTGTGATTGGATCCTATTGCCACGTGGATTCAATGCAGACATGCGGTTTGCCCTCATCATCCTCTGATGTTGCTATATTGAGATAGGAAAAGCAGGAAAGCAGCTGTGGACTGTAAAGAGTATTAAGTTCAACTATGATTCCTCAAAAAAAGTGCAGGCATTTCATTCATTAATGAATCAAACAATGCAGTTATTGTTCAAGAGCCAAGATTTGAAAATCTACCAATGTCTTCTCTCTGCTTCTGCCTTTGCGTGTCTTTGTTTGTGGGATGTGCCTGTGGGTATTACCAGCTCACTTGTCATATGTGTCTCATCACTAGAATGTCAGTTGGATCTTCTTTGTTCCTTCTCTGAGATCCGAACAGTACTGGAATAAACAAGGAGCCCAGATTCCCCAATGGAAACAATAAAGTATAGATTCAGCTTACTGTTCTTCTAGCGCTCTTCATCACCCAGCAGATCTGAAGGATGCTGTTTGGAAATTAGCCTGTGGGAAGAAATTGAACTGTACGTGAATGATAGCTTGCTTCCTGCCAAATAGGAACAGGAATACGCCATTTAGGACTCTTATTTAACTCCACAGGGGAATGTGAACATCAATTCGATTTCAAAATAAATGTCGGTATGATTTTGATACAGAACTGTACTGTACGTGTATTTTTGTGTCCCGCTCTTGGGAGGGCATTGCTGTAAAAGGGTTGTTATGAGTATGGCTCTGGATCATGGGGGGAGGATGATCGGATTTGAAGGGAGGGGGGAGGAGAAATGAGATGGAAAGGGTTGAGGAGTGGGGCGGGCTGTCATATTTAGGCCCACATTCTTACCCCCATTCTTTAGGTGAAAGGGCCCTAAGCGAGCGAGAGAGGGACACCAGCATTAGACGTGATGATGACACAAGCACACAGTTGTCTGTTTGCCAGCTGGACCTTTTGTATATCACTGCTGTTTACATTCGCATGCCTCACACTGAGTTGTGCATACCAGCCTGTAGAGCAGAGTCGCTCATATAGACTCACACACTCGGTCCAGATCTCATTCTGCCTGGCTACTGAATCTGAGCTATGCCTTTAGTAATCCTTTGAATGTTTGTCTGGAGATAGAACTGGGATCATGGTATAATGAGGGTTTTTCTTTGGCTTTGGGTGCTTTAGTGTTGCTAGGGTTGATTTTTATTAAAATTACATTTAAATGTAAAAAAAAAAAATTTGATTTCAACCTTGTCTTTTGGTTATATTAATATCACATTAATTAAAAAATATGAGAATCCATCATAAAAATATCAATCACTGTTTTATATGAATTGTCATGAATTATGGCATATAATGCATGCTTAAAAATATAAAGATGTAAATATAAAGGTAAATGTTATACAGTTTGGTTGACCTAAATGACAGGGGGAGCGCTATATGACATTCACTATCCTCCCTGATTATGATAGATAGATAGATAGATAGATAGATAGATAGATAGATAGATAGATGCATGCATACCTACATACGTACATAGAGGCCTATTAGGTTATAGGCTACATTAGATTATGAAGGCAACTCGATACGGTTCGCCCTAATGCCGGTGCGGCTGAATACACTGTATCCACACGAGAATGTTGTGCATGGAAATGGAGGGGGTTTCACACACACAATGGGAAACAGACTGAGCTGCTGCTGATTAAGCAGATGCGGCCGCGCGCCGTTCAGTGTCACACACCGTGAGATTTGTTGCAGCGTTCCGTCATATCATTGGGTCTATGAGCGTAGAAGAGCGGCCGCGCTCGCATGAAAACACCGTATTGATCTTCTGTCGGGTTTAATATTTTAACCACATGGTGAAAAGGACGCACATTCGTTTTGAGTGTTGACCGGGTTTCGGGACTCGTTTCCATGCATTACTGACGCTCTGGCAATAACATTCAGCCAGCGAAATCCAATAGCGTCCAGATATCTTGTCTCTCTTGAGAAGCCCTGAAGCTGTGTGTTACTATCACGGTCTTTTTACTGTATTGACAAAAAGACGTGATTTTCTTAAGGTCTAACAGCTCTGAGCAGCATCTGCATCTGTTCTCTCTGCTCTGCTTACAAAGATATTCTCTTCTCATTCAATATTTAACTCTTGCTTCTCCAGCACACTCGTGGTCCAATTTGCTTCCATGCTGTTACTGTAAATGGGGATTGCGAAATATGGGTCATGACATGCATGTCTGTTGAATGATATTGAGCAGACAGTGGCATTGGCACATGGTGTCTGGCGCAGTTCAGTCATGAATGAGATGCACTGTCTGAGAGACCTAGATCCAGGCTTCAGCTTTAAGATGTGGGTTGATTCAGGTGCTGCGCTGTTCTTGGTCTCGCTCAAGCTCACTCTGTGCAGACATTCGGGTTGCCCTCGCCATCCTCTGATGTTGCTGTACTGAGATGGGAAAAGCAGGAACACAGCTGAGGACTGTAAAGAGAGTTAAGTTCAACAATTTTATGATGATTACGCAAAGAAAGTGCTGGCAATTCATTCAGTAAAGAATCTAAAAATGAAGTTACTGTTCAAGAGCCAAGATTTTAAAATCTACCACTGTCTTCTCTCTGCTTCTGCCTTTGCATGTCTTTGTTTGTGGGATGTGGGTAGCCTGTGGGTATTGCCAGCTCACTTGTCATATGTGTCTCATCACTAGAATGTCAGTTGGATCTTCTTTGTTCCTTCTCTGAGATCCCAACAGTACTGGAATAAACAAGGAGCCCAAATTTCTCAACAGAATCAATAAAGTATAGATTCAGCTTACTGTTCTTCTAGCGCTCTTCATCACCCAGCAGATCTGAAGGATGCTGTTTGGAAATTAGCCTGTGGGAAGAAATTGAACTGTACGTGAATGATAGCTTGCTTCCTGCCAAATAGGAACAGGAATACGCCATTTAGGACTCTTATTTAACTCCACAGGGGAATGTGAACATCAATTCGATTTCAAAATAAATGTCGGTATGATTTTGATACAGAACTGTACTGTACGTGTATTTTTGTGTCCCGCTCTTGGGAGGGCATTGCTGTAAAAGGGTTGTTATGAGTATGGCTCTGGATCATGGGGGGAGGATGATCGGATTTGAAGGGAGGGGGAAGGAGAAATGAGATGGAAAGGGTTGAGGAGTGGGGCGGGCTGTCATATTTAGGCCCACATTCTTACCCCCATTCTTTAGGTGAAAGGGCCCTAAGCGAGCGAGAGAGGGACACCAGCATTAGATGTGATGATGACACAAGCACACAGTTGTCTGTTTGCCAGCTGGACCTTTTGTATATCACTGCTGTTTACATTCGCATGCCTCACACTGAGTTGTGCATACCAGCCTGTAGAGCAGAGTCGCTCATATAGACTCACACACTCGGTCCAGATCTCATTCTGCCTGGCTACTGAATCTGAGCTATGCCTTTAGTAATCCTTTGAATGTTTGTCTGGAGATAGAACTGGGATCATGGTATAATGAGGGTTTTTCTTTGACTTTGGGTGCTTTAGTGTTGCTAGGGTTGATTTTTATTAAAATTACATTTAAATGTAAAAAAAAAAAATTTGATTTCAACCTTGTCTTTTGGTTATATTAATATCACATTAATTAAAAAATATGAGAATCCATCATAAAAATATCAATCACTGTTTTATATGAATTGTCATGAATTATGGCATATAATGCATGCTTAAAAATATAAAGATGTAAATATAAAGGTAAATGTTATACAGTTATAATGGGCCTTATTTCCTAGCCACTATTCTGTCAATCCAGGCAAAGTATGAGAATTTTATGTATAATTTAATACAAATATAAATTAGTGTGTGTATTT